TCTTGAAGTAGGTTTTGATTGTGGGTCGGCCGTCGACATAGGGAGGGAGTGCGGGTATGACGGCTCGCGTTTTGCGTTGGACTCTAGAGGCGAGAGAGGGGTTGATGTAGGCGGCGGCGTCTGACTCGTCGTCGTCATCGGATGGGTCTGAGTCGTGTTCGGATGGCGAGTAGGGAGCGTTAGCGTAGGAGGGAGAGTCTATGGTATCACCGTCTTGGGGTGGTGAAGAGGCCAGGTTTTGGAAGCCCCATTGTGGAATACCGCGAGTGGGTAGACGACTGCGATGGCGGCCAAGACTGCCGCTAGAGAAGAGTGGGTTTCGCAATCCCAGAGAGCCGAGAGCAGGGTCGGGATCTCCACCACTGCCAGAGGTATCCTCTTCTGCAGCAGGATCCATGAACGGAACTCGGGTGCTGCGCCGCCGATCACGCCGGTCACTGCGCATGAGCATCTCGCGCTCTAGCTGGCCAATACGCTCATCAACTGAGCCGTTGTTCTGTTGGCTGAGACCACTGACATGTCCAGTCTCATCTACCTCTCGCTCTTTGGCACGGTGGAGATATACACCCAACTGGATGTTTTTGGCAGAGCGAACTTTTTGAATGTAGATGTTCCACAAAGAGCCTGCGTAGGATACCGTCCTCGAATAGACGCGCTTCTTCTCTTTGAGGAATCGTGGATTAGGAAACTCAGCCGAGAAGCGGAATGGAGGAAATTCGGTATAAGCGATTGGTTTTGGTTGACCAGCGTTGCCGCCACCAGCAGAGATTGGGCGTTGTGCAAAGTCCATGCGAGTATTTGGGTTCGTCAATGTCGAGGGAGTAGAGGCAAAGTCGGTGGCCCATTGCGCATCCTCTGGTTGTATCGTGGCTGATAGGCGTGAAGCATGGCGCTGAAAAGAGTTGGATGTCGTAACAACTGGATCTGCGCCGTTGCCCAAGACGATGTTGCAGTCCGAGCTTGGGATCCAAAACTTCCGTGGCTTGCCATTGCCGTCCCAACTATCCGACTCGATGTCGCCTTCGTCGATAGGATCCGCCATCTCCTTTTGCTTTCCTTTGTTAGTGAGCTCGCTTCCAGTCTTCGTCGCAACGTTCGCTTCTTCGGGGTCTGGAGTTGATTGACATAGACCAAGCTCCTGAGCAGACTCATCGGTGTTGAGCACCCTCTGGCGAAGAGCCAGTTGCTGCCACAGCGCATTGGAGATGACCCTTTCGGGCATCACTGGTAGGCCAAACACGTCGCGAGCGTTCCTGATAAACTCAAGCTGCTCGTATTCCATGTGAATGTAGTGAATGCCTTCATCTAGCAACACGAGTATGCGCTCAATGTCGGGCAAAGTGTAGAGAGCAAGCCAGTCAGCCTGCGCGTCGGATGAGGAATGCGCCGTTGTCAGGGCGTTCTGGCGATAAACACCGTCGAAGCGAACTGCCATGAGACGAAGAGAGTTGGGTGCTTGTGGGATGGGCCTCTGTCCTCGCTGGATAAGGCCAGCCTCGATGGCTGCTTGACGTAGCCGGCGGTCAAGAAGACGCTTGGAAAGTACCCAGCGGTCCCACTCGCTATCCACAAAGAATCCGTCAGACCCTACGAGCTCACGGACTATGTCGCCGGGCATATCGTCCCAGTATTTGAGAGGCATTTCCCAGCCATTCCTGCTGAGCATCGCCTTGGCCGACTCAAGTATGCGGTCTCCAGACCGGCCATAATAATTAGAGGTGACTAATCGGATGAGGTAGGCAAGCGTCTCGGGTGCCATCTGCCGCAGTATGGATTCGATCGCAGAGTCGATGAGGTCCTGCATTTCTAGCCAGCAGCCAGTCGCGAATAGACCAATGGCTTCAGCGTCCAGTTCTTTCGAGATGTCGACGCCATAAAGTTTACGTATAGCCAACTCGAACGACGCCTGCGTAATGCTGGAATCGATCTCTTCCGGGTGTAGTTTGACTTCCTTGGACCGGCTTTCGAGCCATGGCTCAGAGAGGGCGGTCGTGAAGAAGGGTGCGCGGTCGAGGATGAGGCGGTGCAGAGGATATCGCTGGCCAAAGGCGATGATGGTAATGTCCGAGTGTCGGCCTTCAAGCAGCCCGCGGGTGTAAAGGTGGTCAGGAAGAGGTATGGCTTCGCCTGAAACTGACAATGTTAGCCTGTACACAGGGGAATTTCATAATGATACTCACCTCGCAAATATAATGGTCCCGTCGCGTTGTTGTAGGAAGGTGCCCTGGTTCCAGGCATGGCTGCGCTCTCGCTAAACAACCTACTAATGTCGGTGCGAACAGAGTGCTCTGTACGCATCAGGTCCAACGTCGTGCGCCTTTTGCCTTGTTCTTCCAACGGGGTGTTTGGGTCATCGGCGCTCTTTTGGGCTTGGTCTATCCGGGTTTGCAGCTGAACTATGGGCGGTCGTTCCTCTTGACCGTGAGCTCTGGACGCACGCGATGTCATGCTGGAGTAGTTGGCCAGTGACGGCATCGAGCGCGAGTAGCTGAGAGACCTCGAGTGGCTCACGTGTGCCCTGGGACTGGCGGGGACGTCGGACGGCGCAGATGGTGGTATGGCGGGTACATTGGGCGAGAAGAGGCTGACGTATGGGGTACTACTCGAGCCTGCGCCGCCCTCTGTACGCTCTCCCTCGCCCAACGGCCATGTTTCGTTGCGCTCTAATCCACCAATCTGCGGCTCATTCTCATGATCGAGGTTGTTGTTCCCGTGACCTGTGGGTGGTTGATGGGCGGGATCCATGCTATGCTATAAGCTGCTTTGGAAGTACATGGGGCGTGGTGGTCGACGACGGCTGGGTATGCGACAGGGGCGGGTGGGGTAACGCAGTGCACGCCGGGTCTAATAACACGGGATGGTCACGTACGCAATGGAGAGACGGTGAAAGTCATATAGGAGAAGGGAAGATAGTGGTCGCAAGATACGGTGGAGGCTGGGCGCATCACGCTGCCAGCACGGCAGACGCCAAATGGCGATCTTCACTAGGAGGGGTCCGGTGATGCAGTTGCGAACCTGCGGAGTGGGTCGTCGCTTCCGCCTGTCAACGGGCGTGGATATGCAGGGTTCGTTCTTGGCGCGCCGCCGCGCCGTCGAACCACCGAAGAGTCAAAGTCATTGACGTGCACACTTGCTGCCCTTGAAACTTCCTCCCTCCTCCCCAGATGTCGCTGTAATGGCTTCAATATTCCAGGCGTTTCCGCAGCTGCGGACTGCTGCTCCACGCCTCTCACGACGCCTCTTCGTATGCAGGCCATGCCTCAATTCGCCGATTCGAGCCGCCGTCTCCGCTTCACGATCTTCATCCCGACCCTCCGTCCTGCAATCGGTGAGGTGGAAATCCACCCAGCCTCTCCGCAGTACCGCGACCATCGAGGGATCGAATGCGGGACGGGCGATACTCGCGGAAGCTGCGACCAAGACTGAGAGCCAGTCGAGCAGCTTCCCCAAGACAACCTCCAAGAGCGTCGCATACTGGCTGCTGGGCAGTGCTGCGAGCGTTTTCGGTATAGTCGTGTTTGGTGGTCTGACTCGTCTCACAGAGTCTGGGTAGGCACCGACGTCACCTCCTCCACCGCACCTGCTAAGTTGAACAGGCTGAGCATCACCGAATGGCGCCCTGTCACCGGCTCCCTCTGGCCCATGAGCCAGGCCGAATGGGACAGCGAGTTCACCAAGTACAAGGCATCACCTGAATTTACCCAGCTCAACTCGAGCATGGATATGGCCGACTTCAAGCAGATCTACTTTATGGAATGGGCTCATCGACTCTGGGGTCGCGTCATTGGCATCACGATGCTCGTACCAACCGCATACTTCATCGCACGTCGCAGGGTAGCACCTTCAATGGCCTGGAAGCTCGTCGGCATCTGCGGCATGATCGGCTTCCAGGGTGTTATCGGCTGGTGGATGGTCAAGAGCGGACTCAAGGACGACCTCTTCGAACCTGGTAGCCACCCCCGTGTCAGCCAGTACCGCCTGACTGCCCATCTGGGCGCTGCATTCACCGTCTATTGCTCAATGGTATACACTGGTCTTTCTATCCTCAAGGAGAACCGCATGCTGGCCGACCCGGTCAAGGCGGCAGAGACCATCAAGACTCTGCAGCACCCTGCACTCTGCATCTTCAGACGCTCTGTCTTCGGTCTTACTCTTCTCGTCTTCACTACTGCCATGTCAGGTGCCCTGGTCGCTGGTCTCGATGCCGGTCTGATCTACAACGAGTTTCCTTGGATGGGCATGGGTCTCACCCCACCCAGGAAAGAACTATTCGACCCCTTCTACAGCCACGTCCCAGACCAATCAGACCTGTGGTGGCGCAACATGCTCGAGAACCCGTCTCTCGTTCAGCTTGACCACCGCATGCTCGCAACAACTACCTTCACTGCGATCATGAGTCTCTTCGCATACACTCGCTTCGGCAAGGGTGTGCGAAGTAAACTTACCAAGGATGCCCACAAGGGCGTCCAAGGCATGGTCCATCTCGTCACTCTTCAGGTCACCCTCGGCATCAGCACGCTGATCTACATGGTCCCTACGTGGTTGGCTTCCGCACATCAAGCCGGCGCTCTTGCCTTGTTGACTGGAGCGGTCGTTCTGTGCAGCAGAATCACCATGCCACGCCGCGCTGTCCTTCGCCAGATTATGAAGCCGCAGAGTGCGGGATCCCACACTGCTCCTCATATGAGGTCACGACTCGAGGCCGCCAAGGTTGCCGAGAAGTCATTGTAGTATACGTCACCACTTTGTACGATATGTAGGTTCGAACAGCATATAGACTATATCACCTTTCCTTGGTTCTACGTTCACTTTGTCATTCGCTTGTCTTTCGTCTCATGACCGCAATGCATGCGGATGCTTGATATAAACATCAATCCATCGCATTGATCAAAGGTGAGTAGGATTACTGATACCAAGTATTTGATCTTGTTGCTCATACAAAGTACTCGATGGTTGAGGAGCGCAGTCACATCGTCCCAGCTGGAATGCTAGGGTGAACACTAGTGTACCGTGTGCTCTGCCTTCTCTGTCGTATGTACAGCTTTGTTGCCGCTCGAAAGACTACCTGTCTCCACGATAGCCGCGGGATCGGTGCCAACCGCTTGTTCCCATCCTTCCTTCGCAATACGTCGGCTTCGCTTCACGACATCGCCTTCGTAAAATAGCCAGTCGACCTCTTCCAGCGTAAGATTGGCGGTCTCAGGATAGCAGAAATACTGCAGAACAAGTTAGCGGATGGAGGCTCTGGTATCGTTTCGAATACATACGATTAGCGGTATGAATGCGAAGTTCAGTGCCATGAAGATAAGGTAGCCCTTCCACGCCAAGCTATCGAGAAGCGTAGGCGTGACCATGACGACGAAGAAATTCCAAATCCAGTTCGCTGAGATCCCGACAGCTGTCCCTTTCGCTCGTACATGTAGCGGTAGGATCTCGGGTACATAGACCCAAGGAATGCAGTTCATTGTCATACCGAACGCCAGCATGTACTAAGATTTGTTAGCTTCTCATTCCTAATGCGACGCGTCTCTGCTTACCGTGAAAAAGAAAGCGACACTAGCGGAAGCAGTGGCTTGTGACACGCCGCCTCCTTCGGACCGGAAGCTCAAGAGGATGGCTATCATCATCATGGAGAATCCGAGCCCGAGAGAGCCCCACATCATGGGTTTCCGCCGGCCGGTGCGGTCCAGTGTGAAGGTCGGGAACAGAGAGCCGATGGGGAACATTAGGTTGATGACGCCTCCCATGAGGAGGGCGAGGTTTCTGTCGAGGCCGACGTTGTCTTCTAGGACGGAGGTGATGTAGTAGACAACCTATAGTTGGCGCACGAAGTCAGCGCACCGATCTCGTGCAGTTTGTTTATGTATACTTACCAAATTTATACCGCCCATCTGGTTCATGAATTGCGCGCCATAGGCAAGTAACACACGACGTCCAGTCTGCACACGATCTTTCTTGAGTAGTTGCGACCACTTATACTCTCCATGCTCTCGCTCAACTTGTAGAGCCTCAAGCACCTCTCTGTTCTCCTTCTCAATCTTTGGATCATCAGGCGTACCGTCGTATACGTCACAAAGAATCTGAAGCGCCTCTTCATGTCGGCCATGCGCATACAGATATCTGGGTGACTCAGGAAGGCCGAAAACCAGCACGATGACAATAATCGCAAAGATGACCTGGCATGCAATGGGCAAACGCCACGCGATCGATCCTTCAGTGAATGACATTCCATAGTCGAACCAGTACGCCAGCTCGATGCCCACACCAACGAAAAGCGGTTCCGACGCGACGAGGCGACCGCGCTTGTTCGCCTCGCAGAGTTCAGATTGGTACATAGGCACAGTTGATGTCTCGATGCCCGTCCCAATTCCTGTCAGGAATCTTGCGACCATCATATGCGGCACCGAGTACGCACTCGCTTGGAGCGCGCCGCCGACCTATAATCATTAGCCACGATCTCACCAGTACATATCTGCCCTCTTACTATGATCCAAACCATAGCAATCCACATAGCCAGCCTCCGTCCCGTCTTCTCGCAAAACATGAAGCTGAGGATACATCCCGTGAAGCAACCTAAATTGTATATTGACACGATGATGCCTTCGAGGCCAGGAGAGGGGTGGTCGAATGTGTTCAGGAAGTCTTCGTTACCGACGATGCCGCTGAAGACGCCTTGGTCGTAGCCGAAGAGGACGAAGGCGAGTTGGCATGCGATTGTTATGGCGGCGCGGAGTTTGAAGCCGCGACCGTACCAGTTGAAATGGGGTGTGTGAAACATCGCGGGCGGGGTCTTGTTGTCTCACTCTGCGAAGGAATGCGATGCGCACGATGGAGGTGATGAGATCCGCAAGGGAAGACTGCAGTGCCTTGTGGGTTTACCCCATGTATCTATACCACCATCTTCATACCTCACCGCTCGCTACCCGGATCATATCACCCGAACACACGCAGCATGCTGGGTCTGACCCCGACGTCACAAAAGATGGTCAGTCGGCAAAATCGCCGTTGTCACAAGCTGCCTGCCCCCATAACCGACGGAGTAATTGCGGGGCAGGGATCGTACAAGAGGTTCTGGCGAATGATCAAGACGTAAAACGCCGTTGGAAGCCTTGCCGAGCTATTGGTGGCGTCGCTTGGTCGCGTAGAAATGCGTGTCTGGGGTAGGATGGGGTGATCTGCAGGTGCGGAGGTGGAGAAAGGGGATGACGTCGCGAGGAAGGCACGTTTTGGGGAAGCCGGTGATGATGCAGTAAGGGCGGCTGGTATGAGCATGCAGACTGAGATACAGCAGGAGCTTATTTGATCAAAGCGCGAGATTTCCATCCATCTGTCTCGATCAATACTGTAGAGCCTATAGCTGTGAATGCTGAAGTGATGCGAAGTCCAGGTGGCTGGTGTGCTTATCTCCGCGCCATCTCCGGAGCGATCCTGCCAAATCTCAGCCGTCACTCCATCCTCTCTTCCAGCTCCATTCATCAATCTACTATCGCCGATTGCAATGTTTCCTGCGAGAACGACGAGATGTCCATTGACATTTACTAACACGACTGGAGCACACGAGCGGCACCCCTACATGGTTAACACCAACTTAGACTGCGGATCGTAACAATGGGTACACTTGTGTGGCGAACGCTGTTGAGATACGTCGTTAGACATGAGCCAAACGTGGTGTTCGCCAACTCGGTCTTTACCATTCTATGCTACCTGGTCAAACAACCTCAACAAGCGCATGTAGGTTTATATCGATACAAGGAAATTGCTCGATGAACAAACAATGGGGGAACTTCATAAAGTGAAACCTCCTCTTCCGCATTTCACGCTTCTGCCTACGGAGGGGAAAGGGTCTCCTGGTGCCTTCCTCCCGCTTTGCACCCGCATTTTATCAACCGGCTTCCACCTAGATACACAGGCTAGCTTCAGATCAGAAGTACACCGACGATGGCGCCTCCAATAGGTACAACGACTAAGCTGGCCACTTCTAACCAAGGTCATCTACAGTCTTTGATGGCCAAGGTCCGTAAGGAACTTCGACAACCAACCCAGATAGAGACCTCATATGCAAACAATCTTACCCAGGCTGTCGAGAAGGAAGCTTGGAAAGAATCTCAGGAAATTCGCGACAGTATTTTGGGCCTCGCTCAAGAAGCTCGGAGGATGTTTGGCCTTCGACCGTTCGACATGTCATTAAACGTGGAGAATGAAGCTGATGGTAAAGAAATGGTTCTGCGAAACGGCGGGAAGCGATCAGCTTCCACGGCACCAGCACCTAATGCATCAAAACGGCAACAGCGCGAGCCTATTCGACCACCGCCACCACCACCTTCTGGGAAGATAGATCAGAAATCTGAGGCTCTAGATCAATCCGGTCGTGTCCGTCACATTAAAGAGGAAAACACCGTCACCAACTCCCAGAATGGTCCACACAGCCATGGCCATTCTCAGTCGATCGAGGCTCCATTCGCCACTAGCTTCCTCACCAACAGCGCACCAATCTACAACCAAAACATCAACAGCGGGTCTGGGCAACAGAACATCAACGTGTATGGCGTATTCGAACCTCCACCACCACCCGCTACCGGCGCCGCGCCAACTGAGTACGAGATCCCTACCGAGCCAGAGCATCTACTAAACCGAGAAGCTGGACAGCAGAAGTTCTCGATCAATGATACTGTTACCAACAAGACAGCCGGTGATGGTAAGTCCGGTGGTCACAATCAGACGTTGAAGGGCCCACATGGCAATACGCACATGCGCATGACAGCGCCAGTGTATAACCAGAACGTCAACACTGGGAGTGGACAGCAGAACATCGACGTCATCGGAAAGATGGACTTTGAGAAAAAGGAGCGGAGAGACCGACTGCGTCAAGATCCTACAGTGGCAGTCGCGCAGCCTGCAAATCCACAGCCACACCGGCGCCACGATCAGGGACCAGGTAACCCACACTACGGTCACAGTCCATACTATCGACCAACTTCGCCTCAAGGCCTTGCAACCGGTCCAAACGCCATTCCACCACCACAGCGACGCGACAATGAAGCACCTCATAGTCCATTCTATCGCCCAGCTTCGTCTCACTATCGACCAACCTCGCCTCAGTATGGATCAGCTTCGCCTGAGTATCGACCGACCTCGCCGCAGTACTCGTATGGACCAATTTCGCTTCACCGTCGATCTCGCTCACCTCGCCGCCGCGTCGCCCCACATAGTGACAGTGGCGCTATGGATGAATACCGGGATCGTTCGTACGGGAGGGGTACTGGTCTTCCATATGAGGATGCTCCGTATGATTCAGAAGATGATTGGTCGAGACCAGATCGTGTGGATCGTTCTGGTCCAAGAACGCCGCGCCGCGAACGCTGAGATAAGTGGTACGGTAGCCGACGAGGATGCGTATGGAAAGCTAGATCACAGTGAAACGTCCTTATGACCGGTGTAGTCAACAGGTAAATATGTCCATGCCATCTTCATGAGACCATAGTAAACTGCATTACCACGATGGCCAAGCTCTTGTATCAATCCGTCAAACCTCTCTGTTTCTACATACGTGATTATGATGGTATGAAGCCCCTTGCAGCTTCAGGCCGGCTTCATTACCAGACTAGTTTCCAGCGAGGGAATCCCTATTCGCGTCCTTCATTTCCTCCTAGATTTCCTCCGGGGTTCGCTTCCTGGTTTGCTTCCCGGATCTCTCCCTCATTTCCTTCATCACCCTCGCGGACGACGTGTCTAGGCGAATCATGTGGTTCTGCGATCGGCACCCCTCTTTCTTCATCGCTGGGTTGGTCTTCATCATCAAATTCGACACTCTCAGTGCTCGTGGTTTCGATAGTCGACATTGAGTCGCCTTCCTCGCTAGGGTGGTCAGATTTATCAGATTTAGGGCGAACAAGTTCGGGGACTTTGTCTTTGGAAGGTACAGGAGAGGGGCCACGGTTGGCGCCCCCTTGGTCATTAGAAGACATTTTTAGTGTAGCTTTGTTGCTGGAACTAATGAGGTGGTCTAGCTTGTGGGCTAAAGCTTTGTATTACGCATCTCACTGTAGCAAACTTCCTTATCATCATGGGAACTCAGGAGGATGACTAGGACTCGTGATGATATGATCATTGTATTGGAGAAAATATCACATTTGCGATTTTGGTCGTTTCATGGGAGCAGAGATTGGAAAGCCTATACCGGCTTTAATGATGACGAGATCTTGGCCTGTATATGCTGGAAGATGTCAGAATTTCGGTGTGTTGTATAGCGAACGCGTTTTGGTTGCTACCTTGCGGCTGTGTGCTCGTCAGCTGAAGAGCAGGGGGGACTAAGGTGAGGCCTTCATCTAGACAAGCGTTACAGATTGTCGTGAGATCAGTTGGTTGGCATGGGTTGTTCCCCGACTGAACATTCTCCGCGATGGCATCTTGTTCTATGAGAGATACACAACGACCGCTCACCTGGCACTAGGTGTACGCGGCAATCTGCCTTCATGAAGAGGGTCACTGCTTACGCCCAAGGCCAAGTCTGAGCAAACGCGGTTAAAACGCGGGTTAAATGGGCCACAGCCAGAGAGTCGCTCACCGAAGGTTACTCCGGTATGGATGAACAGCTTTACAGATTCTTCCGTCCACCAGGTAGGAAGCTGGCGAATGGGGGTGATGGTTCCCTGTGTCGCGCATACCGCGGCCATCCTGTTCAACCGCATATGCATCGTGCCACATTCAGACCCAGCTACCAACCAGTCGGGAGAGAAACATGTGAGGGATATCATGGGGGTTGCTCGCTCGCGTTAAGCAACCCACACCCCGCGGAGAACGTAACATAAATGCAAAGCTCAACCACCGTGATGGAGAAGTGACTCCATCTGCTCAAGTCTCTGGGCTCAACGGGAACGGTAAGCATGGATCATGACTGGGAAATCAGCAGATCAAAGGACCAGAGTGATGTTCTTGGTAGAACACCCGGTCTCGACAGGAGGCCAAGGCCCTATTTCACCCTAACAACGGGCCGATGCTCGGTCGACGATCATCAAGCGCGAAGAATCTTCCATGCCAATACGCCGGCTCCGAGGCCAGGCCTTGGCCCCACGCGGGTGCTATCAGATGGATTAAAACTGGGCGATTGGTACCACGACTAATCAATCTGATAATCGTCGCTTTATCTGATCCACCAACGTACACTACCGAAGATGGGTGCCTTAGGATGTGAGGAATCTGTGGTTCCAGAATTGTATGGCTGCTTGGATGCTAATGCAAGTGCGCAGGGCTCAGGCCCAGCGACTCTGGCGATGCGAAGAAAGTTTTGGAAAGGAAGCTCGTTGTGAAGCTTGGTATGAGCATCTTTATCCCCATGGCGCAACCATGCTAACTTTCATGTGACTAGACATCTTCATCATGGTCAGTACTGTCGCAAAACTCGACTTCTCATGATGCCTGACTGTCTTGACTAGGTGTTTTGCTGTGCAGCCTACTTCTTCAACTATCTGGATCGCCAGGCTTTCGCTAATGCCTATGTTGCTGGTCTCCGCGAAGACATCGGCCTCAAAGGCAATGAGTATAGCATCTTGCTTTCGATTTTCACTGCGGGGTCCGTTCAGTGTGCCGGTGTGTCATGGCACTCTAGCTGACAGCTTCGCAGTCTCGTTGTCGGCCAGATACCCCATGGTCTCATTATCCAGAAAGTTCGCCCTAGCATATGGCTTCCGTTCACTCTTATCCTCTGGTCTCTTTTGACCATGTGTTCAGCTGGGTGCAAGACGTATTCACAGCTTTGTGCAGTCCGCTTCTTCCAGGGTTTGATCGAGGCCAGTTTATACAGTGGTAGCGTGTATGTGATGGGTTCATGGTAGTAAGTCGATCGAATTCCTTTTCATGGGAAGATTCTCACGATGCCCGCAGCAAGCCTTCCGAGATAGCCAAACGGGCTGCCATCTTTACTGCGGTCGGGCAGGTCGGGAGTATGTGCGCTGGTCTCATGATGACGGCAATGCACCAGACGATGGAAGGCAAAGGCGGCTTGAAGGGCTGGCAATGGGTGTTCATCATTGGTACGTGAGCGATTTCGAGGGCCGTCGCGCGCGCGTTGCTGATACATGTGGTTCAGACGGTCTCATGGGAATCCCAGTTGGTCTCTTCGGATTCGTAAGTTGTGTCGGTGCTTGCACCCGAGCCTGAGGACTGATAGTAACCCTAGTTCACATTCCCGGATCTTCCAGAGTCAACCAGAGTCTCCTACATCACTCAGGCGGAAAGACAGCTCGCAATGACTCGTCTACCACCTAAGACAGCAGACACCCACAACATCGAGTTCAAGAGCCTTGCGAAGCGTGTTCTCCTAACGCCTACTATGTGAGTAGATACCTATCGTGTTAGTCAAAACCACGAAGTCATACTAACTCCTTTGCAGATACATCCTCACAACTTTCTCAGTCGTCTGCGCCATGCTCGAAGCCTTCGCCTTCCAGGGCATGTTCCTCCTCTGGCTCAAGCACAACAAGTCTCGCTTCTCCCAAACCGCTATCAACACGTACCCTCTCGGAATTCAAGCTGTTGCGATCGTCTCCCAAATTCTGGGCGGAGCCTTCATCGACCACACAGGTCATCGTCTGCCCATGATCATCTTTAGCGGAGCGATGCAGCTCATCACCGCATCGCTTCTGCTCGTGCGAAACCTTCCAGACGCGGGAATCTTCACAGCGCATTATCTCAGTGGCACAAGTTTCATCGTAAACCCAATCATGTACGGCTGGGCCACAACCATCTGCCAGCGAACGGGCGACGATGCGGTGAGGGGTGTGACCGTGTATACAATGGCCATGGGTGGTCTGATCCTGTACACGTGGTGGGGTATTGTTATGTACCCAGCGACGGATGTACCGTACTGGAAGAAAGGAAGCATCACCATGATCGTGGTGGTCTTTGCCTTTATTGGATGGGCATTTGTGGTCAGATGGGTGAGTATTGTCCGTCGCTGAGATGTTTGACGTGTGCTAACGACCCGTGTAGCTTGATAGGAAGACGGCGATGGCTGCTAACCGTGAGCCAGCTGAGTCTGGAGAGCATGAGGTGCCGGAAGTGGTTGATGAGAAGACAAAGTCCGGGTGATGCTGGCTCGGCAGCGACGCCGCATTTGGGCACCACACAGCAAAGGCGACACCTTTCAACATTTGCACATATCCCATCTTTTTAGATCTGGAAGATGCCACTAGATTGGAAAGAAATGAAGGCGGTTGCTACTGCAGAGGTTTCGTGAATAAATGTTGCTTCGAAGTAGTGGATGTTGATACGTCCTCGGGTGGTTTAGCTCGGTGATGACATGTCATCATTACGTCACGATTTCAAGGCTGCATCCAGCCTCCCTAATATTCTCGGGCACTGAACACACGTCGATGCGACGTGCACATTGATGGCGAGATCGCGAACGAATCATACATATTTACACTTTCAACGCCAGTTGCGTTCATAAAGCTCCCGATGGCTTACGCACGCGATACATACATCGACCGAGGCAACGCGTCCTGTCATACTTCCATCAACCGGTTCTCCAACTTCGAGACATGAAGCCGCGACAATTCTGCGCTCATCAGCTGCTTCCTCAACAAGCCCTTCTTTGAGTTCATCTTCCGCTCGCGTCCATTCACGCGAGGAACACCTAGCACGCAGCCCGTCTCCATCCCTTCTCGCGTAATGTCATAGCCTTACTCGCCCTTTGCAGGATCATCATGCTCAACAGAGTCTGTTTCCCCCAAATCGTCACCTTTGTCATCAACAGCCGTGTCAGTCCTCTGTCGCTTATGCGCTCGCTCTTGAGAGTCCTCAGCGCTCGCGGGCTGAGTACCAGAAGCGTCGTCCACTAGGTTCAAAGAATCAGATTCCGAAGGATCATGTTCTTCGAGCTCCTGAGATGACGCCGCATGCGTTGCTTCGACTGTTCGCTTCCTTGTTCCAGATGCGCCCCAGTCCTCCTCGGTTCTGCTTCCTCCCGATTCAGAAGGAGTTCTGCTCTCCAAGTCCATGGAAGTACTTCCCCTGGATTCATTGGGAGAGCTGCTTCCGGGATCCACCGAAGCGCTTCTTGCCAATCCTGTAAGTGACGACGGGATACCATTTCCTGGAGAGGCCCTGTCTTTGTCTTGGGTCAAGGCGCCCGTAGCATCGGATTCGGGAGTCCAGAACGGCAGGTGAGCTTGAAAGTTTGGATCAAGACCCCTCAGCCAACTATATCTGCCAACATCCAAGTTCTGGCGCTCATCCATGCCGAGAGTAGAGATGGTCATGAACTTCAAGTAGATGTCTCGCACGAAGTCTCTACTTGCATCCTCTAGCTTTCCAACCTTTGTTATACGGTCGTCGTCGTATACCGTAATGAAGCCAGATAGTTTCAATAGACTATTGCGTTTTGGTTTGTGCGAACAATCCCGATCAATCGTTGCGACACAATCCCATGGCGCGTATGGATGGGGGTTCGGCTGGGCAGCAGTGGTGCCGCGCGAGTACTTAGCACTGTCGGGTCCATCGCGATTTCGCGTATTAGTAACCGTGGTCTCGTAGGCCATACGTGCATCGACCTGCGATCGGTTCATGATGCCGATGTGCTCCGCGCAAAATGCTAGCGATTGGGGAACCGTCTCGTTCTTATTTTTCCAGGCTCCTTTACCACTATACGTGAACTCGGGTATGATAGTCGCCGTTGCGACACTGTCTCCATGGAAAACAGCGACGACAACTCCATATCTAGATTCCCAGTAAATGCCCAGTGGCAAGCCGTATTCCTCACATATCGCATCACTGGGGTAGAAGCGATATACGCCCTTCCCCTTGAACTTCAGTTCTCCATCGTCGAATATCATCCGCGCAGGCTCGTCAACCAAGCTATTCTTGACCATCACGAAGTTGACGACGTCTCCTATTCCCAGACGAACAGATGCTTCGCGTCCATCAGTGCGATCCCGTGCTCGCGTCTGACCCGCTGCCGCACCAAAACGCCGTTCGCCGCGAGGTAGGGCAGACGCTTGTCGAGTTCCGGTGCCTCGGACGCCTGTACGAAGAGACGCATGATGATTCGTAGCTGGAACCGCGTTGGCTGAATTGCTGTGTGACAGAGCATTCTCGAGCTGAAGGGCGGACTGTGATCTATCCCCAATTGCATTGGATATTCCAGTTCTTGCTTCTCGAGACGAGTCTAAAGCTGCATAGTTCGGGCCACTTTCCAAGCTCGGGACTGTAGTGGGTGCTTGAGGTATTTCAGTGGACTGATCATCCGACGCAGAGTTTCTAAGGCGTCGTGGTCCAAGCGGAATATTATTCGGATTGCCATCGCCATGGATATTGACAGTGTTATTGCCGGCTGTCAAATAGGCACGTTGATTATTTCGCTGGGTAAAGCGTGGCCCAGACGGGGGTTGAGGTGCGCCGGGATGACCGGTTGGAACGGGCATTTGGCCTTGCTGTCCTTGGTCCGGATGGACGAAGGGTGTTCCGGCTCGCTCCCACCTCGAGCCACCTCTTCTATCACGGTGTTCGTTTTCTCCTCCTTGTCCTCGACCACGTGCGCCTCGATCGTTGGACTGAGCGTCATCGGCTCCCGACTCTCGCTGGCTGGTGTCATCCTCTTTTGCCATAATCGGTTGACAAACCTTCTTTGCCAAGGTTGCGAGAGTAGAGGTTGGCTTGTGTTGATCAGTCAACCAGCGACGATCAATATAGGAAAAGGCGATCACATAGTGCCGCTAGGATGTAGCTGCAACTACTCGATCAATTCACTCGCTATACCGCAAATATCTACCAAGCCTCGCGAGACGCACGTGCTTCCTATTCACAGCGTCTGAGGTCGTTCAGGCACTGTGCACATACCAGCGCCGCCCACAGAGCTAGTCAGGAAACAAAGACGATAGGATGACAATGGCGGACCCAGGCCCAAACAAACATGTCTTTGTTATGATATATGCCAGAAGTGCGAAAATCGTGAAGTGCTTCGCTACAGAAATTGCACGAATGTCTATGCTGCATGCTCCCGCTCGGATGCATCCAGAATCTTTCTTGATACCCCATCAATAGCTGAAGATGAGTTCAGTGAGTTTTGAGAGAACATCATTAACTCGATCCGCTCAAGGGAAAAGACGCTTCCAGGACTATGCCGTCAACAACTACCCGACAAGCGCTCACCAGTTGACTGGAAGACCCAGCAAATTCCTTCGCCTTACGGAAGATGCACCATTTGACCCCGAACCAACCTGTCGGCAACGAAGCGCCAGGACTGTCTCTAGCTGGCTGTGGTTATCTCCTGAAGTTCATCCTTCTTTCGCAGAGAAGGCGAATACTACCAGCTCCAAAGCTCCTGCGATTGGAGGTTTCCTCAGTCTGGTACCTGAAGTACACCCACAGTACAAAAAGCCGACAAAGCGCAAGGTCAAGACATGCAAACTAGCTCCGCAAGCTACGTTGAACACTCACTCAAGAACGCGGTTCACCGTCGCATCTTCAACAGTGGTACCGTATTCTGCGGACGATGAATATCTCGATGAACCGCCTCCCGAACATCTTCCCCCATACCGACCCACCTGGTGGTATCCAGAGATTGTTCGAAAACAAAACTTCCATACCGAGAGTGGGCTACTATTGGTCGGTTACGGGCAGAATCCTTTCGCAAGTATCATGCCAACGTATGAACTATTTCGCGCCATACTCGTTGCAGCAGTAGCTCGTCGTGAAGCGAATTCTTCGTGGATACGGCATGGTGGCGTTATCGATGACATCAAGCAAAAGTACACAGCGACGGCCCAAGATAGTGACAAGTGTTTAGATGCAATCAAAGATTTCGATCTTTTGTTCCAAAGTGAAGACGATCCAGAAAGACGGGAGTGGTTTATGAAGCGACGTGGCGATTACGTTCAGCGGATTGACGTAAACAATGCGGAGATAGCAAAGCTTGAGGACCAAGAAGATAAAGCTGTTGCTCGACATGAGCAAGTACTGGACCGGACCAAAGCAACCGAGGACGCTCTATGGATTCTACTGAGCGATCTACTCGTCAAGATAGGCGTGTTGCCTAGCGCGAACAGTATGAATAGCAAACCCCCAGTCCTAGTGGAGGATGCAAACGAATCTTGCGAGCGATCATACCATGACTGGCCCGAAGATAACTGGAACGATGAGATACCAGGGGAGTGGAAGGTCACACCGGCTGTAGCGAAAGGTAGAAAAGCTACCGAGCTCCAGCAATTCGAAGACCCAGAAAATACCTGGAACAACGCATGGGAAGACTACCCCATGGAAGACCCCCTTGTCATGCTGCGGGACAGATATACACAAAAGGCGCAAGAGGCAAATCGCGTGGAGGTAGAGTTCAACCAAATCCGCGACCGATATAAGACCGAGTTAGACGCCTTCTTGTTCCATCGGAGAAGTACTCAGCCAGACCTACAAAAAGAACTGCAACAACTTGAAGAAGAATTTGGCCCAATATGGCTTCAGAAGTGCCGGGATATGACGGGCAAGTTCAAGGAAGCGGACAAAGAGTATGAGGACGCATCGCAAGCTCTCTCGGATGCAAACCGGCGAGATCGCGCAACTAGAAGAGATTGCCCCGAAATACACTCTAATCAACTAGCAGCTCGAGATGAAACCACCGCACCACAACAATTCAAAGACCTACTACCCCGTCGAAAGCGGCGTCTGATCAAAGAATGGTGCGAAGATACGTCTATGCAACTCAGCAATGAAGAGATCGAAGAGTTAAGGAGGAACACGGGCCAGCGGCATCTTCCCATCGACATCGACGTACCAAGCAATCCACTGCACAGTGGCGGCGAGGATGTTCCCATCGCCACAGGTCATAAACGGCGAAAGATCGATAGGTTCAAACGACGAAACGAGGGGCAATGGCCGGATACACGTGATGATGCCTTGCAAGCGGTGCATCTTGCGTGGGCCCGGGAGGTTGGAGAACACCTCTGAACTTCTGTTATAGTTTTCTCTCAACTTACAGTATTGAGCAAGACTTGTTCAGTCACCAGCTCTCATCTTCCGGCTTGCAGTATTAGTGTTCGTCTCGTGAGCGGTCTAGCGCAAGCAAGCATTGCGGCATCTGTCTTCACAGTATGAAGTATTCTTCCATACTCGTGTTCCTCGCAAACTATTGATTGTATGATGTCTTGCCAGTTCCTTCTCCTTCCTGTTCTGCCCATACTTTTACGTTGATAGTCTCCTCTATCCGTGTTCATGTTCGTGTCGTTCTGCTGCCGATACTGTCTTTGTTGCTCATTTACGCTTAACGGCAGGCTTAATGTACGGGCGGACATGTTGAATGAACATTGGGAAGGATAAAGGCGTGACCATGTTTGGTCGACGGGATCGTTGGGTGTTTCAGATGACGCGGAGAGAGGGAAAGGGGATAGGCTGGACTTCTAGGCGAGGAAGGGGTAGATGTTGGGCTGACAGTACTCGGGACGAGTTGTGGGAGTGAGGAGTGGAGAGGGGGGAGGTATAAGAGGATGTGCGTGATGCATGATTGGGGATCGACGAAGTGTGCTCGGTGTGAGAGTGGCAAGAACAGGGATACCTGTGAGGAATAACTGTCAACATATTAATTCATTCTTGAGTCCGTAAATGTGTAATTGATACGTATGCGTTACATAAAAGCAGCGTGAAAAGAATCTTCGTAGTACTCGCGATAGTCATGACCCATTATGTTCGCCCCTGCGCCGAACGAACCCAGAAGACTCCAAAGCAAGCAAGCAAGCGGCCAACGACGGGATCTTGATATGCCCATGTAATGTCGTCTAGATGGTATAAACGTGAGGAAGCAAAGCAACGCTAAATGCTGATGTACGATGATGAAGGATGATGAGGACGAAGGAAACGCCAAACGCTATGATAGAGGAGATTTGGTTGAGCGCCGTGGGGGATTAGACGGCGACAGTGTGGGCGCGGAACAACATCTTGAGGCCGGAAGGTTCTTTCTCCTTCTTCTTGGTCTTGCTGCTCTCTTTGCTTTCTTTGCCGGATTTGCTCGAGGCGACTTTGCTGGAAGCGACTTTACTTGAGGCAACCTTACTGGAGGGACGTTTTGAGTCGGAGGTCTTGCTGGTCTTGACGCTGACTTCGGACTTGGGTGCGCGGTGCTTGTGCTCTTTGTGCTCTTTGTGTTTTGATTCGCTGCTGTGTTTCTTGGATCGGGTGCTGCGGCGGGACTTGAGATCGTCTTCGTCAAGAACGCCGGCGGCGCAAAGGGTGCGGGAGGCTTCGGGGGTGATGAACTCGCCGTCCACACTGGTGCCGGAGCTGTTGGCCTCGACGTCTGCGATGCCGCGGCGCCACAGCTCTACGCGGCTGAGCTCCTGGGGCTCGAGCTCGTCGAGCTGGTTGTTGGAGTCTTCGATGGGCATGGTAGCGGCACGCATGGGCATCGCCATTTGCGGCTCAGGTAGGGGTGCGTCGACTTCCTTCTGGACTTGCATCTTCTTGATGATTTTGTATCCGCCGAGTGCGACAATGGTAACGCCGACAGCGACACCTCCAGCGATCATGAACTGGGGGCTGAGGAGCAGAGCTGCAACGGCAGGGAAGCTGCCCTTGAGCGTCATGAGGACACCAGGTCCCATCTTGCCGACGATGGCGCTGATCTCGGCGAGCGTGAGTGATACGGCGGCAAGCGCTTCGGGGTTCTTCTGCAGGTTCTCAATCATGGCCGTGGCCGTGTGTTGTAAGCAGTTGGCCTCGTCCAGGAGCAACTCAATCTTGGAGGCCTTCTCTTTCAGCTCGACGTCGTTGTACTTCTTGTCGGGCAGAGGCGGGGGCACGTCGCCGTAGCAGAGGTCCATGTCGACTGACTTGGATCGCGACTTGCTGCTCTGCGACGAGCGCTGGACGGCCTGGTCGGAATTCCTCCTCGCAATCTCCTTGTTGTGTGCGTCGCCGGCGAGGTCGGCTTCGAAGCGGTGTTTGCTGCTTCGCGGGCTGTCATTGGCGTAGAAGCTGTCGCTGTAGCCGCGCTCCATCGCTGGCCGGTCATGGGCCTTGGTGCGATGGGTGTGGGCTTTGGAGGCCTTGGAGCGATGCGAGACCTGGGAGCGGGCATCGTCGTCATCCAGGCGGATGGCCTTGACGCCCTTAGCGGCCTCCCTCTCCTTCACGGCGGCATCGCGCTCCGCCTTGATCTCCGCCTTGCGCTCGCGGTAGGCGGCCTTGGCCTCCTTGAAGACGTTGACAATGTGCTTGCTCTGGGCGGGGCGTCAGTACGAGTACGGGGCTTATCGGGGGGCTAGCGAGCTTATCGGGCACTCACACTGCTCACGACCTTCCCGCTCTTGTTAATAACAGTGATAGTCTCTCCGAGTCCGACGGCCATGGTGACGTAGTAGGGCGTTGTGTTCCTGCAGCAGCTGCACAGCGCGCGGCAAGAGGGGTTTTGTGTGACCTTGAGGCTGGTTGCGGTGAGAATGGTACTTGTGTCCTGGGCCTAAAAGGCGGCGGTGAGCATGTATCAGTCAGTGCTCGCGGAAACGGCAGCTGGCGCAACTCCACAAGGTCCCACCTGGATCACCAAGTCGTCGCGGCCAGGCTGCGACTATAAGGAATTTCAGAGTCACTCCTGACGGCGCTATTGTCGGAACACTACGCGCGGAATGAGGCGATTTCTACCGACCGCGACACGCAGCCATGATGGTGGTGGAGCGCGGGGTGCGACCAGAGTGGCCGAAGCGACCTGCAGCAAAGCCATTCACGAGACTGCCCGCATACTTCGCATCGCTTGTCTGTGACGTCTCGCCCTGGTTCGTGGGCTGCGGCGTGAAGACTCAACCAGTGCAGTCCGGGCATAGTCGCAGCGCGTGTCGCCATGTAACTGGAGGCGCTTCCCTGGCGCCGGCTATGCGGGCAGCGAGACGCTGCAGCACTGAGGCCCCGGCTTTGCCTGCCATTGGTGCGGATGGCTGTCTTGCTTTATTACTGCAGCCATCGTGAACGTGTCGTGACAGCGACTGGACAACTAAATTTCGGCAGCCTCAGTTCTCACGCGTGCTGATGCAACGATGCAGGCCCTGGCAGCCATAACCCGACTGTTGCTGCCCAAACCCCAATATAGAGCCGTCTGGAATCGAGATTGTCAATCATTGTCTAGTTGGCATGATCGGCTCTAGGTTCAGCCTCCGGTAGCCTTCAGCTGGGAAGGTTGCCCTTACCGCGCCAGCCGTGGCGGTGCTGCTGTGGCGTCTGTGGCGGTGCGCTCTGTCATCGCGGCCGAGACTCCAAAAGGCTGTCAACGTCGAGCTGAGAAGGTTGAAAATCTGAGAACATTACGCAAGCTACGTCACATCGAGGCTGTCGGAAGTTTGACAGTCTTGGTCATCGCCAGCAGTGTGGCTGTAGTTTGGTTGGGGTCCCACGCTCCTTTTTCTCAACCCACTTTTCCCACGTTTTCAAAGCAGACAGGAAGGCACTCCCTGGTGGTGCTGGTGAGGCATTATCGACGATTCATTACCCGCAGGCGATCAAGGCTACTGGTCCCATTAACATTCTACACAGGCATCTCTGCTCGCCGATTTCCCATCCTGTCCAATCTTCGGCCGCGCTTCGCAATCCTCAAACTTGGCGGCAGAGTGTTCCAGAATGCACACCGACGATCTTCACTCTATCTCTTCGACCTGCATGCGGCAGCCTCCAGCCTCCCGCGCCCTGATATGCATGTTCCCGTGAGGCTGTCCTAAGTCTCCTTAGCAGCTGGAGCGACTCGAGGCGGGCCACACCAACCGCGTCATTTACAATTGGTAGCTCAACGTTGGAAGCCGCTCTCTACGCTGCGACCACGTATTCGGGCCTGCGAACGGTGAACTATCTATTATTTAGAGCTCGCAGACTAGGGAGCGACTGCATGATTGACAGCGCGCCGCCAAGTTGTACGACACGTGCATACGTGAATGCACGCTGGTGCACATATGTTGGCACCACTCTGCGCTTGCTGTGAGATACGCTGGTATGCTGATATGGCAATCGAGAAAAAGGAAGCAGTGATGCTATTCCATGATCTCAGCTTACTGTGAAGCACACTCCCACCTTGAGATATGGCGTCATTGCAGCGAGATCGCTCGCCATGTAGGAGCGGTGAGCTCGTTACTCAGTGCGAGCAGCAAAGCTCGAACTCCCCTGAGAGGTCACCTAGCGACGACGAGACGTCCTCAGATATTACGCTGAACGAGGTAGATGAAGCCGATCAACGGCTGCCTCTTTCGAGCACGGTAAGGGAGGCACCGCTATCGCACAGCGCGGGACTTTCTTCTTCTGCCATCTTTCCGTTCCATCTCCTCGCGGGCTGTAGCTCAGCAGAAAGAAGGACCATGTGCATCTTGTCAGCGTCGCTTACATCGCAGGAAGTGAAGACAGCTCTAGGTGTAGGACTAAGAGGTACGTCTAGTCGAGTTGCTGCGTCCATCGGTGGTGCATCAGGGCCCCGCAGCCGGCGCTTTTGGCCCTGGACCCTGAATGTGCCGTCATCGCTCCCACCAAGTCGCGAAACCTTTACACGCGACCATGCACTCACTCCAGAGATACAACACCAAGCCGGGCTGACCATGCCAGCAGCAGCGCCTCCGCATAATGACGGCATCCCGGAGACGCAGGGCGCAGAGAAGTCTGGTCTAGATGGCAATCGAACGCCGGCCCTCGCGCATCGGATGAAGCACGACAAATCGATCCTCGCGTTAGCAGTGTCATCACAGTACATCTTCGCTGGAACACAGGGAGGGGAGATCCTAGTACGTGTCTAAGCGAGCTCCAGAGGTGCCAGGCTCATGACGTGCAGGTGTTCAGCCTCGATACCTACGAGCGGCGCAGTGTCATACACGCGCACAAGGGCAGCGTACTCGGCTTGTGTCTGTCGCATGACCGCAAGTGGCTGTTCTCGAGCGCAGCAGATCCGATCGTCAATGTGAGAGAGTCTGGAACGTCCATCGTCGGTTTAT